ATTGGAGGAGGTGGGGGTGCTGGGGGATTGGAGGGGGAACAGGGGCGTGGGGGTCCTGGGTTGGGGGGCTATAATGGAGCCCCAGGGAAGGAGCTGCTGTAGATGTTGCAGGGAGGGGGGGCAGTGCTGGGCGCCCTTCCCCTAGTCTGACCTTGTTAGTCAATCAAGGGCTATAAGAAGGGGGGGGCAGAGCTCCCCATCCTGCCCCTCTCTGCCCGTCTCCCCAGTTCCCCTTTCCTGGGTGTCTCTGTGACTCTCCTGTTGCAGTGACCGCTTGTGTCCCATGCTCAGTGCAGGGCCTGGGAGCCAGGAGGCCTGGATTCTGTTTCTGCCTTAGCCACTGACTCACTGGGTGACCTTGCACAAGTCATTCCCTGCCTCCATGCCCCAGTTTCCCCAGGTTGCAGGAGCCCATGAAGCACTCTGAGAGTGCAGATTGTAATTCACATTATAGTGTTACGCTTTTGAACTTTAGTAGGGTTGTGGATCAGGGCACCTAGCGCTTCATATGAGCATCTTTTATTATATAAATTGAAATAACTCAGTTGGGAAATTCCGCAAGCAACATCCACTCTCCTGGCCTGCACAGAAAAGCAGCTGCTAGTCAGACTGCTAAGTATGAAGTGCTGTGCCAATGTTGCTTTAAATTATTGTATCTCTTGAATATCTTTTCTTTTCGGTGCAGTGTTAAGGTTGCAATTTAAATAACCTTGTTTTGTTTTGCACATTTATCATTTTGCTTCTAGAGGTGATAAGGGAAGTTATTTGACCAGGGTCACACAATGAGCTAGTATGTGAGCTGTGAATAGAACCCAGGAGTCCTGAGCCATCAGAGCAGGAGACAATACTTCCTCCTGAGTGGGAGGTGGGCGCTGGGACCTTATTTCGGCTGGATTGTAGCTTGCTCAGTTGCTGCTGGGTTTGAGGTTTGCTACCTCCAGTTTCCAATAACTTTTCTCCCTGCTGCCCCGTTGCTGAAATGTCCATAATGAAACTTGATTGCACGTTACAGGTGGCCTGGTCTGAGCTGCTTGAGCATTTCCTGGTGCTCTTAGCTGGTGTCTGCAGAAATTGGTCATGTCGCATGGTGCAAAACAGCTGGCCGCTGGGATCTTGTAAGTGTGGCAGGTTCTTTCCCCTTACCAGACAGCAACAGGCCGACTGTTGTTGTGGTCACGGTGATGCTGACAGGCCCCGTAGTGCCTGACAGCAATCAAATCTAGGTAATAGATTCATAGAGCTCAAGCCTGATGGGACCATTAGATCATCTAGTCTGACCTCCTGCACAGCAAGGGCCTGAGACCTTCACCCAGTTACTCCTGGATTGAGCCCAATAGTTTGTTTGGCTAATGCATCTTCCAGAAAGGCAGCCAGCCGTCATCTGAGGACATCAACAAGTGGAGGCTCCCTTGGTTGTTTGTTCCAATGGTTAATCACCCTCTGTTAAAATGTTGGGTCTAATTTGAATTTGCCTGGCTTCAGTTTCCAGCCATTGGTTCTTGGTCTGCCCCTCTCTGCCAGATTAAACGGCCCGTTAGTCCCTGGTATTTTCGCCCCAGGTACGTGAAGGCTGTTATCAAGGCAGCTCTTGATCTTGATGAACTAAACCGATTGAGCTCTTTAAGTCTTCCACTGCAAGGCATTTTTCTAGATCATTTTTGTGGCTCTTTTCTGCACCTTCTCCAATTTTTCAAGAGCCTTTTTAAAATGTGGACCCCAGAACTGGACGCAGAGTTCCAGTGTCGGTCTCACCAGTGCCACATACAGAGGTAAAATCAACTCCCTGCTCCTGCTCGCTACTCCCTGTTTGTACATCCAAGGAACGCATCAAAGATCTTGTTGTCTTAGTGTCGTACTGGGAGCTCATGTTGAGTTGCTTCTCCATTATGACCCCTAAACCCTTTTGGAAACACTGCTTTCTTTGTTCCTAGATGAATAACTTTGCATTTGGTTGTATTAAAATGTGTTTTGTTTGACTGGGCCCTGCTTACCAGGCGCTCCAGATCACTCAGTATGACTGCCCTGTCCTCAGCGTTAGTTACCACTCTGCCGAACTTGGTGTCATGCGCAAACTTTATCGGCGCTGGTTTTATATTTAATTCCAGATCATTGATGAACGTGTTGACTAGCATCAAGTCTAGTACCAGTCCCTCTGAAACCCCACTAGAAACAGCCCTATTTGATGGTGATTCCCCATTGGTAACTGCCCTTTGAGATCTGTCACTTAGCCAGTTCTTAATCCATTTATTGCTTTAGAGAGTGGAGCCTACTAGTTTCTCAATCAGAATGTCATGCAGTAGTCACTCAAATACCTTACCAAAGTCTGTTACAGCTACACCGTTACCTTTATCGGCCAAGCTTGTAATCTCAAAGAATGAAATCAGGCTCGCTGACCGGACCTGTTTTCCATAAACCCATCCTGACTGGCCTTAATTAAGCTCCCATCCATCAGATCTTTATCAATTGAATCATTTGGTATTTTCCGTTATTTTGCACAGGATTGATGTCAGGTTAACAGGCCTGTCGTTATCTGAGTCAGCCCACTTGCACATTTGGAATATTGGTACAACGTTCGCTCTTTTCCAGTCTTCTGGAACTTCCCTGGTATTCCAAGTCGTACTAAAAATTAACATCTCCTCCGAGATCTTCTCAGCCAGCTCTTTTAAGATTCTTAGGTGCAAGTTCGCCAGGCCTGCTTATTTATAAATACTTATCCCTAGCAGATGTTGTTTAACATCCTCCTTAGTTACTAATGGACTCAAAAGTACTTCATCATGCTCATATGATACACGATACCATACTGCCTCTTTCCAAATGCAGAACAGAAATATAAAACCTTTTCTTCATCATCATTAACAGTTTTATTTTCTCCATCTAGTAATGCGTCTGTACTTTTGCTAGGATTTCTTTTGTCCCTATATACTTTAAAAAAATTCCTTCTTATTGTCCTTAGCCTTGCCAGCCATGGATTTTTCCCCGATGTCTTTAGCTTGCCTTATTAATTTTCTGTACTTCATAACTGCTGAGTTATATCTGCTGCTATTTACTTCCCCGTTTTTGCATTTGTCATGGATTGCTTTTTGGTTTCTCATTCCTGCCTTCACTCATCCTGATCCTGTAACTGGACTTGTTTAGGTGGAGCACCACTGGGGTTCCGTGGGGGCATATCTGATTGCGGGAGCTGGGCCCTAGTTTGCTGTTCTGCCTTGGACTGTGGCTTGTGTAAGATGCTCCAGATGAAGGCAAAGCTCTCCTGTATGATGCACCAGCACCAGCCCTTTCCTTCTCTCCATACTGTGCCAGGGAGGGTGGAATGTTGTCTCCAGCCATAGATTAGTGGATGCGCTGGGTACAAGGTCTGATGAATGGCCCTTGGAATTGGTGCCCAGAGGAGTATAACTTTAGATCCAGTTCTCAGTCATGTGAGAACCCTTCTCGTTCTGACTCTTCTCTGCAGCTGTTTGACCTGCCAGCAGAGGGCGTGATTTGGGCTGTAACCTGTGTGCAGGAGTGCCCCAAATTACCCTGGGCCATGCTGGTCTTGGTGGGGTTTGTTGAGCCCCTTAGTTATTACAGTGCTAGCTGGTCCCAGCAAGGGCTGCTGTGGGGAAGGGCGTGGGAGCTCTGGCACTGGGAGGGAGTCGCCATCAGCTACCTCAATCCCAGCTTCTCCCGGTAGGAGTCGCCCTTGTGAAGGGCTGTGGAGAGTGCTGGCTGCGTGGGAAGCTCAGTGCTCCTGCATTCCCAGCCCCTCCCAGCAGGAGGTGCTGAAGGGCGTAGCAGTGTGCACCAGCAATGCCATCCCAGTAGCGTCTCTGCAGTTGCGCTTCAGCCTTTTCCTTCCCCGCAGTGTGACACGAGCTCTCTGGTTGCAGACATGCCCCCGGCAAAGGCCAGCATGGAAACTTCCTGGTCGCCATCAAGCAGGAGAAGGGGGAGATTCCCCGGACCAGCAGCGAGAAGCCCCATGGCGAGGAGGAGGTGAGCCCCTCTGCGATGTAATCTGGCTCTTCTGCTTTCCCGGCCCGCCCTGGGCACAGGATCCCTGCTGTGGCTCGTCCAGGCTCTCCTGCTGGCTTGACTGCAGCCGCACGGGGCTGGGACAGCTGGGTTTACAGCGCTGCAGGGAGCTGCGTTGCTGGGGTTTTGTGCCATAGAAATGCATTTGCTCACCCTGCAGTAGTCCTAGCGTAGCCGTGCAGTGTGCCAGGCTGCCGCAGATGGTACAGGGGCTTGTGGCTGCAGCACGGGGCTGGGAAGAGAGGCCAGGAGTCCTGGCCTCTGGAGGGCTAACTGCAGGGGGCTGCATGGCGCTCTGTCCCTCCCTCCCCCCTGCGGACACAGTCACTTAGTGAGCTCCAGTCCAACATGTTGATTGGTTTCTTTCCCTCCCCTGCCGCGGGGCGACAGCCAGTGAAGAAGAGGGGCTGGCCCAAAGGGAAGAAAAGGAAGAAGATCCTGCCCAATGGCCCCAAGGCCCCAGTGACCGGCTACGTCCGCTTCCTGAATGAACGCCGCGAGCAGATCCGCATGCAGCATCCCGACCTGCCCTTCCCAGAGATCACCAAGATGCTGGGAGCCGAATGGAGCAAACTGCAGCCCACGGACAAACAGGTACTGCGGGAGGTGGGGGGGCGCCCTGAGGTGACACACTCGCGTTAGCCCAGCCACATCCAGCTGGGACCCGGGTCACAGCCACGCTCCAGACCCACTCAGGCTGTTGGGCCGGTCGAGGATTGCACCTCGAGTAGGATAGGCTGCATCTGGACCGGGGTCTGCGGGACATACCCTAATTGGCTGCTGTGCTGTGGGTCTGGGGTCCGTTCCCTTCTGTAATTGTAGGGCATACACGGAGCCCCCTGACTGGCCGCTCAACGAGGCCGGGGTGTCAGCCAGAACTTGTGGCTACCTGATTCAGCTGCCATTGGCATCCAGGGGAGCAGGGCCCTGACTCCTGGAGTCACGCCCTGGAATACTTGCTGGGCCCCTCGCTGGGATCCAGGCTCTGGGGTGGTATTTAGGGCTGCACCTCGCCCCCCTTCCCTGCGCTGTGGGGCGTGCCCACCTGACCCCGGGTGGTTTCAGCGATACCTGGACGAGGCGGAGCGCGAGAAGCAGCAGTACATGAAGGAGCTGCGGGAGTACCAGCAGTCGGAGGCCTACAAGATGTGCACAGAGAAGATCCAGGAGAAGAAGATCAAGAAAGGTTGGTGCTGGGGGCGTGTGGGGCTGGGCTTTGGCAGGGCCCCTGAGCACAGCATGGTGCGCTCTGCCCTGCCCCCCACTGACACTGGGGTGGGGAAGGGGCTGAGAGCGTCCCCCTCGGTGCTGTGGCTGGCAGGGTGGGCCTGGCGCAGCAGGATGAGGTGAGTAACCTCTGACCCCTTTGTGCCCCCAGAGGATGCTGGTTCTGTGTCTGTGAACACTCTGCTGAACGGGCACCCGCACAAGGTAAGGCCCCTGGTGGCTCTGCGAGGGTGGGCAGTGCCCAGGGGAGGGGCTGGGTGCCAGGTGCCAGCTGGGGAAGTGAAGCGGAGGAGCACGGAGCCCCTCATAGAGCATGAGGTGGTAAATCCTGTCCAGCTGCATGGGCCCTGCCAGGGCTGCCACGGGCTGGCGGGTGGCAGTGGTGAAGTGGGGCCTGACTCCGTGCAGGGCTCACTAGGCTGGTGTGAGGCGTGTCCGGCTCGTGCTGTATGGCCCTTCGCTCACTGATGTGTCATGCCCCTCCCTCCCCCTGGTGATGCTGCTTGCTCAGTCCATGTCTGTCCCCCCTGTGCCCACACACCCACTGACCGTGCCAGGGGCTGCCTGTCTGTCCCCTGACACCTCCCTAATGTCCTTCAGGCCGTTGGCAGACTTGCTGCATGTGACCCTGCCCTGGCAGAGGGGCATGAGGGGGGCTTGGCTGCAGACTGGGATTAGACAGAACTGCTCAGCCGTGGCATGTGGAGCTGAGCCTGTAACAGCCGGGGGCGGAGTTATTGTGCATCCTTTAAAATACCCCTTCAGGCTGCCACGGCTGGAGACTATGGCTTGGCCTGGCCTGTTGGGGGAGCCCGGGACTATCGCCCGGCCCGTGCGGGACCCACCAGCTCCCCTGGGGCCATGTGTTGGGACTGGCAGGAGCCCTCCTCGCCCCCCCACTGCCTCCCCCATCCTTGAGCTGAAGCAGAGCAGGGGCCGTGTGTGTGGACCCCAGGGGAGGCAGGAACCCAGCCCAGGCAAAGGGAAGTTCATCCCTCGGGCTAGAGTCGACCTGTCCTGGCCACTGGCCGTTAACCTGCATCTGCTCCCGGCCAGGGCGGGGACTGTGGCGGGGACGGCTTCTCCACGTTTGACGTGCCCATCTTCACCGAGGAGTTCTTGGACCAGAACAAAGGTACCGAGCCTGGAGGAGGGGGGGTTAACTCGGTGGGGCAGTGACCGTCCTGCATTGTGTTTGCACAGCGCCTAGCGCAGTGGGGCTCTCTAGAATACTATCAGCGACACAGCCCAGGCCAGTGCCCAGTGCTCTCGCCTCCCAGCGGGGGGCGGGCCCAGGATCCCTGGTGCAAATAGACCCCTGGGGCTTGCCGTAGCTGATCCCACCCTGGCCCATGTGGCTGGGCAATGCCTGATCCTTCCCAGCAAGCCACATGCAACCCCTAATGCCCCAAGGCGAGTTCAGGGTGGGGGAGTTGCAGTCTGTGGACTTGGCCTGCACCTGCTGATCCTGTCAGCGTCACGGCAGGGTGCCAGGCAGCCCTCGGAACAGAGTCGCTGATCCCAGCATCCTGCCCGGAATTGACTTCCACCTCAGTTCGCCCAGCAGGGACCAGGTGCGGGGGCTGATGGGCCGAGAACACGGGCAGCACCTAGTGCCGTGGGGCCCTGATCCTGGCTGGGGCCTCTGGGCTTTGCCGTAACCAAAGTCGCTGATGGCACCGCTGTGTGAGCCCTGCGTTGGCCCCAGGCCTGTGTCAAGTTGGGGGGAGCTGGCCTCTCCCCCAACCTCTGCACTGACCCTCCCTCCTGTCTGCGGTGGGGCAGCGCGGGAGGCCGAGCTGCGGCGCCTGCGGAAGATGAACACGGAGTTCGAGGAGCAGAACGCCATCCTGCAGAAGCACACGGAGAGCATGAGCTGCGCCAAGGAGAAGCTGGAGCAGGAGCTGGCACTGGAGGAGAGGCAGACGCTGGCCTTGCAGCAGCAGCTCCAGTCCGTCCGGCAGGCCCTGACCACCAACTTCGCTTCTCTCCCCATCCCAGGTGAGCCCAGGAGGCAGAGAGAGGAGGATCATGGGAACACAGCCTAAAGAGATCCCCTCCCTGAGCAGTCCACTGGCTGTCGGCTGGGCTGTCACTAGAAGGGGGTGCCCGGGGGGGGTCTGATACTCTGCATGTGGGGGGTGGCTGGAGATGGAGCCTCAGAAATCTCCCTCCTTTTCCCTCTCATCTCAAAGCACCCCGTGGTGGCACTGAAGAAAGGAGTCTCTTTGGCACCGTGACAGTGTAGCCCCGCCTAGGCTGGAGTGTGGCTGGTTCAGCACGCAGCCAGCAGGTGGGGGCAGAGGGCGGAGAAAGTGTCTGTGGCAGACGCGGCCTTGGCGTGGGGGTCTCCCCAACACGCCCACGTGTGGTAAACTAACTCCGGGGGTGAAGGGCCAGCTGGGGTTGGACCCAGAGGTTGCAGGGGACGAAGGCGTTGGGCCTCAGAGCTGAGCCCTCCGCCCAGCGTAGAAACGCCCTGGAAAGGACCACGGATGAGGCATCCTGCCCCCCTCCATAGAGTGCCAGTCCTGACCCCTACAGGGCTGCCCGGGCATCGCTGCAGCTGGCCTCTGGGGGCATTGGGCTCGGGACTCCAGCCGGGCTCCTGCGCTTTGCTAACCAGGTCCCGTCCCTAGGCACCGGAGAGACCCCCACGCTGGGCACCCTGGATTTCTACATGGCCAAACTGCACAGCGCCATTGAGAGCAACCCGCTCCAGCACGAGAAGCTGGTCGTGCGCATCAAGGAGATCCTCTCCCGGATAGCCAGGTGAGCGGGGGGCTCTTCCCTGCCAGACCTGAGGGCGGGGAGCTGCAGGGTTCGGTGACTGGTGGGGCTGGGACCCGCCTGGCCTGGGCATTGGCCATGGCAGCTCTGGGCTGATCCTGGCAGGTGCTCAGTACCTCTGTGGGTGAGAGAGAATTGGTGCCGGGGGGAAGGGGGGGGGGAGTCAGATCTCGGCAGGCAAGAGGAGGATGTGGTGGGATCGACCCAGGCTGCCCTGATGCTTGGCTTCTCCCTGGACCATTCTGGGGGGAGATGAGGGAGGCATGTAGGTCCCCTACAGCATGTCACACCCCGGTGTGGTGGTGTCGGTTGGGAAACCCCTGGTGCCAGGGGCTGCGGGGGGATCTTTGCTGCATGGCTGTGCTTTGCCTAGGCCCCAAGCCTGTTCTGACAGCCCCTCGCAGCCAACCACCCCTTCTTGGGACGCAGTTAGAACAGCCCAGACACCCCCAGGGCACCCACAGGCCAGCTCAGGGCTGAGCAGACCTGTGACTGGAAGGGTCCATGTGTGGGCTTGTAACTCCACATTTTGGGGCCCACGTGGCCAGGGGAGGCCCCCATTTTAAATGGCAACTGTGGGGCGGGGGTATGTCCTGGGGTCGCTCCCCGCTCTTCCCCGTCTCACTGACGTAGGGCACAGGGAGTGGCATGCTGACCGCTAGAGCTGTCCTGAGCTCCTGCTCGCTGGCTGGAGCCGGCCCTGCCTGGCAGGGACTGGACGTGGCCGCTGCCCCACAGCTGCCCGGTGACTCGTGTGAAGTGGGCTGCTGGCTCTGGCTCAGTTTCCTGGGGCAGGTGTCTGCGTTGCAGCTTCTGCCCCTGGGGTGAACTGTCGCCCGTGTGGGCAGTCTCATGGAGACCGAAATCCCCCTGTCTCCCTCGGGGCCATCCCCAGGGTGGGCTGGAGGCAGGCTCGTGTGGCAGTGAATTGGGCACTGCCTGTTCTGGGGAGGAACAGCCCCTCCGGCCCCACACCACTGCTTCCCCACCCCCCGAGCTGCTGAATGAGCCGAGAGTGCCTAAGCAAGCTGTGTTTTTCCTTCCTGTTTTTAGTGAACACTTATGAAAGGCCTGGTGTGTCCTGCGGCCCAGCGCTGACATGGACTGGGACCCTCAGCCACCTCCTCCCACCCGCCCTGACACCTGGAATCCGCTGGAGCCTTGCGGCTCAGCACCTCCGCCTTGCACAGATCTTTGCTGGAGAAGGGCTTTGAGCGGGTTGAGTAACTCTTGGTCCTTCCGTGCAGCTGAGAACTGTGGGCCAGGCCCCCGTGAGGCCTTGGGGGGCAGGCCGCCAAGCAGGGACAGCAAGGCAGCTTGCGGGGTCACTTCTCGGCTCCTCCTGCGCCCCTGGCTCGCTGACTGCCAGGGCTGGGGCTCAGTGCAGCGCCCCGGAGGCATGACTGCATGCGCTGCAGGCTCCACCTGCCCCATTGCAAGCTGGCCCTCGATTCTCCAGCGATGCTGGAAATCCTGCAGCAGCTGCGTTAAATTAAACCACACAGCCTTAAAGCTGACCAGAAGCTGCCCCCGGCCGCTCACTGTGACAGTAAATCAGGTGTGTCTCGGGCTGGCCCCACCCTCCAGTTGTCAAGGTGACAGAGAAGTCTGTTTTGCCAAGGCAAGGCAGAAGCGCTCGTCGCTGGGAGGGTGCTGGTGTAGACCAGGCACTGCTGTCCTTACCCCTGTGTCACCTAGACCTGCACTGAGCAGAAGAGGACACAGCAATGATAAGGCCACTGTCCTGCCCATGTTAGTGCAACTTCCCCTAAAACGGCATCAGTGTTCAGGCAAAAATAGATGGGTTCCCTCTTCCCCCCACACAAAAAATGTCTAGTGTAAACCCAGCCCAAGCTATCAGCAGTGAAATGGATCAGTGTTGGCCTTTAAACTACCATCATTAGGTTTCAGAGTTAACCAACTGACGTGAAGGGGGCTGTTCACCCCTCTTGGAGCAATTGTTTCAGGCTGTCTGTAGACTCAGGCGTTCACTCTTGAGTCACATGAGGGCTGTCGCTCTTTGAATGCTGTGATCCTGGCACTGTGTGGTGGGGAGGGAGCTCTGCTCCCCTATCCCTAAAATAGCATGGCTGAGTATTATGGGGCTGGCCCTTCCTATCCCTGCTGAGCCCTGCCTGAGGGGGCCTGGGGAAGCCATGTCTGGGGTCAGGCCAGCTCCCTTGTTCTCAGCATGGTGTCCTCTGCCTTAGTAGCTAAGGGGCATGTTTGTAGTGTGGATGGGACAAACTGGGTCAGACCTGTGGCAGGCCCAGCCTGGTCAGTCTGGTTACAGTCCTGCTGCCTGGAACAGGTCCCTGCCTGCATTTGGGTCTGTGGCATAGATGTGCCCTTGTCTAATCTTAGGGTCTGTTTTCACTGCTGAGTTAACCCAGACTCTTACCCCGTGGAACCTCAACCCCCTCCTGTCCACATACAACCCTGTCCCCTGATGTTGGGTGGTGCTCTCAACTCCGGCTAGCTGGCCCGGGTGCCGCTTTCACTCGGCTGGGAACCTGCCCACTTTGCAGTGAGGGTGCAGGCTAAATCACTCAGTGCTGATAGTCCTCCAGCGCCTTTCCACAGTTTCCCCGTGTGCCCAGGAGGACAGACAAGTTCTCCCACAATTCACTGGGAAAGACCCCTAGAGCGGCTCAGCTCACTGCAGCACACAGCACCTGGGAAGAGCCCCTGAAGTCCTAGTGCCACCCAGGTGAGTGCCATGCTGGCGCAGGCATAGTAGCAAGTCAGGCGCTGCTCGCCCTGGCTGGGCCGGCCTGGGTGCAGATCACCTGCGTTACTCTGCAGTGTAGTCCTATCCCACGACATCTCCAGGGTTATCATGTTCAATTCCCTGCCATCCTGTCCTGAGCCCCCAGGGGTCGTGAGGGGCAGAGGCTGCTGAGGGTGGGGAGACAGCACCCATTTACGAGCTCAGGGAAGGTGAGGCAGTGCGGTGGAGAGCTGTGCCCTGGCAGGAGGGCGCCATTCTCTGGGCGTGGGCAGGGGTGGGAGCCCCACTCCATCCTGGCCATTCCTGCAGACATCACACCAGAGATGGCCACTGGGGGCACGTCTACACTACAGTTCAAACCCGCGGATGGACCATGCCAGCTGATTCGGGCTCACAGGGCCTGGGCTACAGGGCTGTGTAATTGTGGTGCAGACGTTCGAGGTGGGAGGGTCCCAGAGCACTGAGCCCGAAAGCCCCTTAGCCCGAGCCCTGCAAGCACAAGTCAGCTGGCCCGGGCCAGCCACGGGCTGTTAATTGCAGTGCAGACGTGGGCTCACCGCTTAACACTTGCCAGTCAGCCATAAAGGCTAGAGACGTGGTCTGGCTCCAAACGTCCTCGCAGCCGGGGACAGGGGGCCTGGCCCGGCTCACACAATTCATTCGTTTTTACAAAGAAGTTGACTGTGACCGAACCTCCGGGTGAGTAGCGAAGAGTCGCTCAGTTCCCTCCTGGAGCCTCCTTCTGTTGGTCTGTCCTGTGAGAGATGGCGCTGGAGCGTGACGCTCTGGGCTGAGGGTTTTAGATCCGATCACAGCACCTCTCCAGGCATTTTGGTGGGCAGAGTAGGGACCAAACTGCTGTGCCAAGGGCAGTGCTGGCAACTTGCCTGCAGCTTCTAGCACCGGGCACTGCCAGCACCGGTCACAGAGAGCAGCAGCTTCCTCTGCAAGGAGGGCTAGGTGTCTGTGGGAGGAGTACGGTGCGCGCTGTGCACTGCGGGTACGTGTGGCAGGATCCCTCCTTCCCTGGGGATGTACCATCTGTGTGTGCTCCCACTTGGAAACGCCTGTCCGCCACCATGGCACCAGCCCCAGCCCTGCTCAGCCAGTAGCACGGTGCTTTTCAGCCTGTGCTCCGCGGACCCCGGGGAGCCGCCGACTGTCTAAGGGCTGGTCCACACTAACCCCCCAGTTCGAACTAAGATACGCAACTTCAGCTACGTGAATAACGTAGCTGAAGTCGAAGTACCTTAGTTCGAACTACAAGGTACTTACCGCGGGTCCACACGCGGCAGGCAGGCTCCCCCGTCGACTTCGCGTACTCCTCTCGCGGAGCAGGAGTACCGGCGTTGACGGCGAGCACTTCTGGGATCGATTTATCGCGTCTAGAGAAGACGCGATAAATCGATCCCAGAAGATAGATTGCTTACCGCCGAACCCGGAGGTAAGTATAGACGTACCCTAAGGGGTCCACGAAAGGGTGCCGTTACCATAGCCCAGTGCTTTTCAGCCAGGGGCCCTCAGACTGTAAGATTTCCAAAGGAGTCTGCATCTCCATTCGAAATTTTGTAGGGGTCCGTAAATGAGAAAAGGTTGCAAACCCCTGGACTAGCAGGTCTGGCTTGGCTGAGAACAGCTGCTCAGTTACAAGGGGCCGTGCCCTGTGGTCAAGGGGCTGGGCCCTGGGAGCTCTGGGTAAACTCCCAGCTCTGCCACAGACCTTGGGCACATCATACCGCTCTCTGCACCTTGCGTTCCTCCAGCAGTGCAGGGGAGAGCGGCTCCCTTTCCTACCTCCCGAGGAGGTGTGAGGCCAGATTCCCCAGTCTCAGCAGGCGGCTGTGGGGGCACCTAGCTACCCCCTCCCCTGTGCTGAGCGCGCTCTGGGAGCTGCACCCACTGGGGCCCGCTGAGCAGCATTTTCAGTGCCTCTTATTCTACGTCACCTGAGTAAGGTCAGTGGCTTAAAAGTACCCCTTGTGCAAGAGCTGCCCTTGTACCTGCAGTGCCCATCTCTGTTCTGCGGAGCTCGGGGATCTCTGTGTCTTAACTCAGTGTCCCCCGGTAAGTGGGGTTAGTCACTGATCTCGATCATGTAATTAGAGAGACTTATTTTCTTACTAGCACTGCTTAACAAAGCACCATTTCCAATGAGCAGTCGCCTCTCCCTTGGGGCTAATGCTCTGTCCGCTATGGAGCGACAGCGAGAACTGCTCTGGTTTATGTACGCGTCTCCATGTTGCGGCCGCAGCCTGCGGTGCCAGGGAGACGTTTCATACAAATAAAAATGGGGTAGAGACCCTGTGTTTCCTGAGTGAAAGTGGTTCAGGGGGAGGGGTGGGATCGTGGGCGAAGTGTGTTGGGTGGGTGTAGGGTGACCAGACAGCAAGTGTGAAAATTGGGACAGCGTGGGGGGTCATAGGAGCCTATATAAGAAAAAGACCCAAAAATGGGGACATCTGGTCACCCTAGGTGGGTGGCTGTAGCAGCACCGCCGTGGTGCCCGCATTGTCACAGAGTGACACCTGGCTACTGGAACAACCGAAATCCTCGCTGGCTTCGGCAGCCCCTGGCTATTCTCCTTTGGCGCGGTGCAAACCTGGGATGCGGGGGCCTGCTCTACATTACAGACAGAACTAAGCTGCCATTTTGCTCCGGTCCCACTACAGCCCCCGTTCCTGAGCTGCTCCTCTGTGGCTGCCGTTATCTCTAGCCCCAGAGCCGGGCACCAAGGGTTTCTTTGGAAGGGCTGGTGCATACCCAGAAAGAAGCCAGTTGTTCTTAGCAGTGCTTGCTCTGAGCTAGCTGCCAGTAGCCTTAGGAATGAGGCTTCTAGCATGTGTCTAGCTTCTTCCGAGGTGAATGACCATGTTTGCGAAGGGCTTTGAAGATGAGCATCCCAGAGGCTGGAGGGTTTTGTGGCTAAAGCCCAGGACTGGGAATTGGCAGATCTGGGCCCCTCCTTGGCTGTGCCACAGACGTCTGTGAGAACTTGGGCAAGACACATGACTTGAGATTAGAGACCTGGCTGCTGGACAAGATCAGGGTGAGGGAAGTGGAGTGTTTGTGAGCAGCATGTGATTCTAGAGCAGAGACAAGTGCCCCTTAGTACATGGATCCATAGACCTTCCAAGTGTCTCAGAACCAGTAATCAGCGCCCAGTTCTGCCACCGCTGTTCACGGGGGTTCGCTCCTGCAGTACTTCCATGCTCCCCGAGTGGATTAGGCCTCGCACTGCCCACTTTGCATGTGGGGAAACTGGAGAACGAGTAAATGACTAAAGCTTCCTTGGCAGGTGGGGACCCCGTCTAAGTGGCTGTCCTGGTGATGCAACACAAATGTCGCCTTGGGACAATGGATGGGTGTCTCCACGATTCCAAATCAATGCGACTCAACTCACATGGCAGAAGAGCCTTTTTATTTTCTCCCAAACTCCCCCTAGGATCTGAAAGTCAAGCTGGGTTCCCCTGCCTCCCTCAGCAGCCCCAGCAATGCTGGTTCTGCAGTAGGACCCCCGCTGTCCCTTTTGCTGGTGCACAAGATGGAGCGGTTCCTGCAGGGCTAAGGACTGGGTGGTGTCAGCCAAGGCAGCAGGTCTGGCATGAAGAGACAGAGCGCAGCCGTGTGAAGTATTTGCCTTATTATTAACCCCCACCCACCCACCCCGAACTCAAAGTTCTTGTTTCGATTTCCTTGGTCTGGGTTTTGCAAAGAGCTCAGCTGCTGCTCTCCCATCCGAGAGGAAACCCCAGCGCTGGACCGGAGACGCTGCCGTCTGATGCAGATAACTTCCACCTTGAGATCAGTGCAGCTTTTCCATGCTTCTGAGTTGAAAAGCCAAACCCACCGCTCTGCCAAGCACTTCAGGCAAAGTCCCCTTTGGGGCAGTTCACCGCGTGGGCTGAAACCAACTGGGAGGGGGGTTGTTTACAAAACTCACTTCTCCAAAGCCATCGCTTTCACACCCTGCTCCTGGTAACACTGGCCAGGGGTCGGCGACACCGCCCAGGGGCTGGTCTCTGTAAGAGGCCTAGGAGTCTGCTCCTGCCTCCGGCCTGGCCTGGCTGGTGCACCAGGAGTGGAGGCTGTTTCAGGGCCCAGCTCTGCCTCTGCATTTCCTGGCCAGGAACGGGGCTGGCAGTGGGGTTTGAACAGCTGCCCGTCTCCGGGGCTCGGGCTGCAGTGCTCCTGGCCAGGGGAAGTATGCAACCCCTGGGAACCTAGCATGGTTCTTTGTTCCCCTTCCCCTCCAGGTGTGTGACTGCTGCTGCCTTGTGCACATACATCCCCAAATTGCTGGTTCAGTCCCTGGCGGTGACCCATCGTCAGTGCTTCAGAAGGTGCTGTTTTTATAGGGTCTCTCTCTCTCTCCTGATGGTAAACACACTCTGGCCGAACAGCCAAATCCCTGTGGCCCCCGTAACCCCTCAGCAAAGCTGCTCTTCCTGGGGGTTTGCTTGCTGGCTCTTCCCACCCCCAGGTCCCTGCAGCTTGGAGCCCTGCCTGCATGGAGGAGAGCTCATCTGACACTCCTCGAATTACCTGCGCTCCGGGATCAGATTCGCTGGGCTGGGAGCTGGAGCCATCTATAATTCAGCAGGGGCAGCTACCATTGTGGCCCTGAAAGCAGGGCGCCAGGATGCTGCGGAGATCAGGCCAGCAAAGCAAGAAGGCTGGCGAGGAGGAGGAGAAGTCCATGGAGAACGGGGTGTCCCCGGAGCAGAGGGCCACAGAGGCCTCGCCTGAAGTAAGGAGAGCTGGGGATGGTGCCCCCGCTGCCTGCTCGCAGCCCTCCCCACGGGTCCGGCCCAGGCTGGTCTTCCACACGCAGCTCGCCCACGGCAGCCCCACGGGCAAGATCGAGGGCTTCACCAACGTGAAGGAGCTGTATGCCAAAATCGCCGAGGTCTTCGACATCTCTCCCACCGAGGTGAGGCAGGAGCAGCGTGGGGGGGGGGGGCAGGGGCTAACCCAGCCGAAGAGCCAGGATACCTGAGCCTGACGCACCTGCGCCAGAGCCGAGGCTCCCCACTGCCCTCGATCTGGGGGGGGAGGGGTCTGCTGTTTGCCTTTGGAGCCCTGCACATTCCAGCTGGCTGGCGCTGGTCACCAGAGGGTTAACGCCAAGCTCTCTGGTTACAGCTGCAGGACACCATGGAGCGTCCGCCTGGGCCTGGGCTGCCTTCCAGGCCCAGGTAATCAGCAATGCGCCAGGGTCCGTCTGGTCGCTGCTGTTCCTGTATGGTCATTACCAAGCCCCCTATGGGCTCTAGTCCCAGCTCCACCGTGACTCTCTGTGACCCTGGGCAAGACATGGCTCCCCTCGGTGCCTCAACTTCCTCACCTTTCCAAAGAGCTACGCCTAGAAGCGACTGCGTAATCAGTATGGGTGATCAGAACTCTGGATGGTCAGTCCCAGGTTTCTTGGCTAAGGAACAATCAGGACCAGTTGGCCCAGGTTTATCTATGCAGTGGCTGTCTGCCTCCCCTATGGGGCTGGGTGCTCTGAGCTGAATGGCGCTAGGAGAGGCACGTTATTCCACGGATTGGGGGGTCAGTAATGGGCTGCTGGACCTCTCACCTCCGATCCAGCCCAGGCGAGTTGTGACACTCACTTGTTACCCTCTGATGCTGCTCAGGAGCGTGCAGGAAATGGGTGTCGCTCTCGTGTGGGCAGAGCTGGGACTGCCCGTTAGCGCCCTTGTGTTGTTCCTGTTCACGCTTAGTTCACTACTCCTGGACAGGGCCACAGGAACCCGTGCTGCTGCGGGTGCCCTCTGGGAGCCTGCCCCTGCCCCTCCATCTTGTCGGGGTCAAGCGTGCGACCTCAGCTGTGGCTCTGGCAGCATAGTGTACGGGAGACACCAGATCCATGTCTCAGAAATTCACCCTAGTTATTCTTTAGTGCATCCTAGAGGCCCCAACCGAACCCAGGGCCTGATTGTGCTGGGCGCTGCACAAACACCGTCAGCCAGGCCCTGTCTCCGAAGAGTGTGAAATCCAAACAAGCCCGACAGAGAAGGATGGTTATCCCCATTTTACAGATGGGGACACTGAGGCACAGAGCAACTAAGAAATTTGCCTGATCTGTCAGTGTCAGGGAATGTACTGAATCCAGTCTGGTTAATTAACCGACAGCCAACCTGCTTCTATAATAAAACAACAAAACCTCATCATGTTTGTGGTTTGAAAATGCACCTAGTTTTGCCCATTCTGAGTT